GATTTTCCTTTCTTAGTTGAGGGCTATCTCTTCTTTCTCTTTCTGCCCTCAAACTGCTGTTTGCTTTGGGAGACAATGCACATAATGTTCAGGTGTTCCACCCACCCCGTGCTTCCGTTAGTGATAATATTACATCTCATTTGCACTCAACATACATTGCCCAGGGGAAGGAGAACAAGCAAGTCAGGAACTGGTAACAAGGGCAACATCATGGCATTTTTAAGGAAATGGCCACATACTATTCATGATGGCATGAGACTTGTATAGCTTGCCGTGGCTGATGGTGACTGACTGACGAATTCTCAGGAGTATGCACCCGACTGACATCTGCAGATTAATTATCTGCAATTAGCCACAGCAAGTTATACAAGCTTTCCACAAATCCCAGTACGATTGTGGACAATATCTATGTAAAACACAACATAGCATAGCAGTTTGCAGCAGCAGAACACAATCTGACCTCAGGACTATATTTAAGTAGTAAAGGGGGAGCAAGGGGAGGAGAACAGGGTTGAAGAAAGGCACAGAAACAGAGGACACAAGTGTTATAATGGTAGAGATAATCACCTTGTTGGCATCCCCATCTTGGAAGGCATTCAAGTATGTTTACATGTGTGAGATGAAGGAGGTGCAACACCATGACAGTAGCAGACATCTGCCTGAGGGCAGCGTCTGGACCCTGAAACAGCAGCAATACTGAACAGGTGTGACCTAAGGATCAAAATGACAGGCTCTGGGAGAGACCACCACTGCTTGTTTCTGGAGTGGGAACCATTAGGAACCATTTCACTTAAGAGGAGGATGGGCCACTTCAGTAGATCTGAGGACCACATTTTTGCTCCCGGTGGTTGAGCTATATCAGCCCCAGAATATGGCTAAATATGGGAAGAAGATGCTGCATCTTTCCTCAGTTAATGGGCTTTTTGCAGGTGTGACATTACGTCCAGAAGATAGTTATGTGGGTATTAAAGGCACTGTGATAGTCCTGGTGGCCTCAAAATCACTAATTAGAGCAAATTATAAATTTGCATGCTGACGTTTGATGGTTTGTGAGCCTAGTGCTACACAACACACAGCCTGAAAAATGGAGACTTTCACAGGAGCTGAAAGTGACGAGATGTCACTTAGTTCGCTTTTGTCAGTTTTTCTTTCTCACACCTCCATACGGACACCCTATTTGTTTTCTGACTACTTGAAAAAGCTGAGCTGATTTCGCTTTGAGAATTCTTCAGTCTTTGCACAATGAACACTCTTCCTTTTATGTGTTTGTTTGCATTCCCCAACTTGTCTTAATACGCTCAGATATTTTAAGGGAAATATACTTGTATTCTCGAAGGCTTTCACGGCTGGGATCCAATGGTTGTTGTAGGTTGTTCAGGCTGTTTGGCCATGTTCTTAAGGTTATTCTTCCTAACATTTCATCAGTCTCAGTGACCGGCATCTTCAGAGGACAAAAGTCAGAACTCTGTGCTCAGGTGCAGTTTGTGGGATAGTTGAGTATTTATAGCTGTGGGATCAGCTTTTTGTCCTTTTCAGGAGATTGGGTGATTATGGCGATCAGCGTGTTTTTTGTTGTGGGTATATTGTTGTGATAAGGGGGAGAGATGATCTGTCACTGTGATTGATGGGTGTCGTCAGCTGGTCTTTTGTGTGCAGTGATCACCGGTCCTTGTGGCTAGGTAGAGTTCATTGACCTTTTGCAGGCTGTATTTTTCAGTGCTGGAAGCCAGGCTCTGCTGGTGTTCAGCTACTGCCAATTTTTCCGGTTGTTTTAGTCTGCAGTGTCTCTCATGTTCTTTGATTCTGGTGTGGATACTGCATTGTGTGGTTCCAATGTATACCTGGCCACAACTGCAAGGTATCCAGTGTACTCCTGCAGTGGTAAGGGGGTCCCTTTTGTCCTTTGTTGACCACAACAAAAAAGTCTAAAACTGAACAAAGCCTGCTACAGAGACTGGTGAAATGTTAGGAAGAAAAACCTTAAGAAAATGGCCAATCAGCCCAAAAAACCTACAACAACCATTGGAAATATATTTCTTGTTCCCATCTGAGCCTCGTGGCGCAGTGGTTAAAACGCTGTACTGCAGCTAAAACTGTGCTCACGACCTGGGGTTCAAATCCCAGGTAGCCGGCTCAAGGTTGACTCAGCCTTCCATCCTTCCGAGGTCGGTAAAATGAGTACCCAGCTTGCTGGGGGGGCAATGTGTAGCCTGTATAATTAAAAATTGTAAACCGCCCGGAGAGTGCTTGTAGCGCTATGGGGCGGTATATAAGTCCAATAAATAAATAAATAAATAAATAAATATAGTTGTGATTTACTATGCTAAGCAACAGGATGTCAGCCACTAAGTAACAATTTTGTGTCTTATAAGTAACAGGGCCTAGATGCTTACAATATAATCAGGATATTTTGTGAATGATTATACTGTGCTTCTTTAGATTCACTTTAGACGAGAGAGTCATCGTCTGCATTGTTGGCACATTGTTTTCCTCTCTCTTGTTTGATTTTTCTTTCTGTAGCTATGTGTGTGTTCATACCAATAATGTTAGGAATGGGTGAAGTGATTCGTGGCCTTGAAAATTGTTGCAAATGTTCAAGTCCCTTTTTTAAAAAGTTTTTGTTTGTTCGCTTGCTTGCTTGCTTGCTTGCATAGTTTTATAATGCTGCCAGACTTTCCCTATTGCAACGAAAATGATAGAGCTACCATTTTGGAACTGGCACAATGTTGATGGTTGCCTTCCTGTGACACAGTTTCATTTTGTGCATCTGTGAAGGATCTCCAACTCTCCCATGAAGGTCAACACATTTTCCAAGATTCTTTTCTTAGAATTGCGGAGCTGAAAGGGACCCTATGGATCACCCAGTCCAGCCCCTGTCAAGGAGGCACAGTGAGGGATCGAACACCCAACCTCTGGCTCCACAGCCAGAGACCTAATTTTGGTCAGAAACTCGGTACCTTAAAAAGTCAACACTGCATCATAGCAGGGAATACCACAGACTTTTTTCTTAAAAAACAAACAACTGACTGACATTTCTATTCTCCTTTTCAGTGACAGCCACAAGACCTACACCTGTTAGTGAAGATTCTGAGTCTGACTATGAACCCTATGACTTTAATCACAAGCCACCTGTAGCCCTCTCTACCTTCTACAGTGAGCATCTCATCAGATCCCTTCAAGCTTCTTAGGGCCAGATGGACTTTAGACAGCAGATCTTTTTACTTTTATATGTTTATTTTCATGGAGCCACCAGGATTCTTGCTCAGAACTGGGCTGCTGGGGGAGGGGATGCTTAATCCTTTCATGTATCCTGTTTCCACAACCTTCGTCTCCCTTCCCCACAAGATGCTGAAAAATAACTGGGAACTGCTACTTCTTATGCTAATGGAACAATTTTATTCTCACTTACTGCATTGCTTCTGAAATGTGCCTTTGTTATATCCCCATTATGAAAAAAAAAAGGTACTTGTGATCGGCGACTATGTTGAACTTGGGTTTTTTTCCCCCCAGGCTCTGCTTAGGCCACTCACACTCAATTTCATGTTTGTTGGGTCTGGAAGAGGACTGGGGAACATGTGCCCCTAAATGATGTTGGTGGACCATAACTCCCAGTGTTTCTCAGCATTGATTGTGCTCCTGAGGGCAACTGAGACTTGTGGCCCATCTGCGGTATAAGGGCCCCACATTGAGCCACCCTGAGGAGGTTTCACATAGAGAGCTACAGTAGAAACTTTGATTTGAAAAGCCATGACTAAACCTGACTTCCCATAACTTGGCCTTCAGCTCCCTTCACCACAGCCAGAACGGAATGGCAAGCCCAGGTCTTCAGAAGCGCACAGAGCTACAGCCCTCCATATAAAACTGGCTCCCTTTCCCAGCAAGCCCACATGTGTCTCAAAGGCTCTGTGTGGTGGAATTTACTGCAGATTTCTCTGTTGCAGAGCTTTTGTGTGTTTTTTTAAAACAAATAATCATAGGAAGGGATGTGACAGTCCATGCACCTTGTTTGCACTATCTTTCCAAGGATCTGTTCCTGAGAGCTTGATGGGGTCTGTTTGGTCTCTCATTCTCAGATTCTCTTCAACACCGAGTGTCTGATGAAAACCTTCCTCCCTGCAATTTTGCCATGCCTTCCGTGCATGAAAAGGACGAGAGCCGACATGTCGCTTGGGAGGACAATTTGCAAAAAGGTGAAAACTCCTCAGCACATTTTCTTTGTACAGTACCTTAAATGTGATTTGCTTTTGACATGGCAGGTTGTATCTAGGTCTCTTCTCTCATTACCATATGCTATTCACTGTTTTTGTATCATCTGTAAAAGATTCAGTGACGCACTTCTCAAATGAGATATTGCTGCCTTGGCAACCTAAAAACATCTCCAGTATTTTACTTGAGCACTCAGGCTAAGCTGGCTCCCAGTCTGTCACTCATAAATCAGTTCTGTGGTGTGACAAACATCCCAGCTTTCTATCTATAGGGGCTCTCTGCTCTCCTCTTTATCTCCTCTATTGTTGTTGTTGTTGTTGTTGTTGGTTGTTGTTGTTGTTGTTGTTGTTGTTGTTGTTGTTGTTGTTGTTGTTGTTGTTGTTGTTATGTGCCTTTAAGTCAGAACCAACTTATAGTGACCCTGATGGAGTTTTCAAAGTAAGTGAGATATTTAAGGTTTTACCAGTTCCACAACCCCATGAGTTTCCATGGCTGAGTGGGGATTTGAACCCTGATCTCCAGAGTCCTAATCCATCTCTCTGTCCAATATCTAATTTATCTCCTCTACTGTACACCATTTCCAAAACTGAGTGTAACCTCTGTCACACAAAATAGCCAGCAGCTTGTACTATGCAGGAAAGAAAACAAACAAAAGGATTGCTAAGATTTGTCCATTGGGCTCCAGGTGGTGATGGAGGATGATTCCCACTGGATGTGTCAGTCAGAAAACACATATGCACCTGCATCAGGTGCGAAGGATAGACATATGTCTCTAAGCAGAAAATGGTAATGTTCAAGGGAACAACAGGGAATTGCACTTCTTTGCTCATGCGACCACATTCCTTTAAATGTTTGGAAACTGTCTTTAGGTCATTGTAGAACAATCGATTTAATGAGTCAGTGGGAACCTGTAAGTTGAAATACATGTAAGTGTACTCTAGGTGGGACCGATGATTGGATTTAGACAGATATATTATTTCTTCATATGTCATGTGCTCCTCACTGGAGACATGCATCTCAGCACAATGCATAATGTGAGTCAAGACTGAGAAGCATACAATGATGCGTTTTATAAAGCACCTGCTCAACGCCAACAGTTCCTCACACAGGGAATAGGGGGAGAAGAGGCCCACAGCTGCATGATGCCCAACCATTCTGAGATCTCAGTGTATCTACGGTTTTCTCAAACAGAATCGACAGCTGAAGACAGTGACAGCACATCTTCTGGAGATGCCGATTGGTATGAGAACATCCAGAAAGCAGAGCAACAGGAAAATTATCCAGGAAGTGAGCCTTCCTTCGGAGGTAAAAAGCAGGCATGTTATAAATAGGGGGACACTTAGTATTTAATGAGCTAGTACATTCATTTGTTCCGCCAAAGGTCACCACAAAGTAAAACATAATAATAATAATA